AGGAGTAGTCATCCATCAACATGTGCATCAGGTGAAACGTACCTGCACAAACCACACCAGTGCCGGACCTAGGATTTTGAAGGAGGGGGTGGCGGGTTCCGCTGTCCAAACTATTTCAACCCGGCGACGCATGCGCGCAAAAACGACAAAAAGAGGGGTTTCCACCGGGAACCAAGGAACCCCCTGGATCCGCCACTGCACACATCAGTGGTACACGACAGCGCAATTACAGTAGACACCTCAATAAAACGACACTTCGAAAAAAACTTCTCAATTATTAAGAAAACACTTTGAGGTTCCAAGCATTCTATTGTCAACAACGAGGTCAAAGACAAATCAACTACACTCAGGACAACTCTTTTCTCAAGGAAGTAAAAAGAAGAGCTGCCCCTGGGTGGGATTCGAACCCACAACCACTCTGACAGTCTAGCGCAGCACAACTGATCTACCCAGGACTAGTGGTCTAACCTCCAAGAGAGGACAACCTCCCTATTCAGGGACTAAATGTCTGGTCCCAATGTGTTCGTTATTCAGAGGTTCCACTATTACAGCGTACCAATACAGTCCCTGGTACGCTCTTTGTCGCATGCCAATCCGCATGGCAATGGAATCCGACTAGCTCATTACGTAATCTTCGTAATAGAACAAACGTACCGAAACTCGGGGCGTTCTGGAGCGTGATCTCCCGGCTGATCTTGGAGGTGAAGAGTTTCCACGTGAGGATAAACATCTTGCTCACTTTGAGGAGGTCCCCCTCATTAGTGCCTCTAACATTGCTGCAGGTCAGAGGGGAAAGCAGCAGGTATTTCTCATGCATTTCTAATGATTGACCAAAACAGGGTACATCAAAACCAACAGACTCTGTACATATGTCATATCTGCTATGGTTAAGAATGTATATAATATGCCAACTGTTGGACTCTCATTGACACAATGTTTAAATGCTTAATTTTTCCAACTCCTAGAATGCATTGGACCTAGACTCATGAATCAATTAGGAAAATCTGAAAACTATTCTCCTGTTCTACATTTGGCACAGGCCACGAGGAACCTCCTTAAGTCATCCAAAACCTTTACATTTGCATTGTAATGATCCTAAAGGTGCATGCTGTTCCTCCTAACGGAAAGAGTTCAGGCATCTGTTTGCTTTGCCAAAATCGCAGAGAGATTTCCAGTGGTGTACATATATACAATGGACAGACCTTGACAGTGGTGTGAAGGATGGACTGCCCCCACTCTACAAAGTCCTCCACACTAGTCTTGTCCTCCAGGAGCTCCACAAACTGTCTCAGCACTGCACACGAGAGAGAGAGAGAGAGAGAGAGAGAGAGAGAGATGGCAAAAAATTTTACATCTGTACCGTAGGAGAACACAGTACTAATACTAACGCAAATTTTGGTTAGAATTACGAAATTTGCAGAGCACCCTAGTGTACGAAACTAAGATTTGTCGTGACTAGAAGGCGTGTTCTGAAAAAACTCACACTCGGGGATGATATGCAGGGAGGAGGAAGGGATACTCAGTGGCTGGATGGCAAACAGGACGTGGGCCAGGACAGCGTGCATGTCCAGACCTTCCCAGTCTCTGAACAGCTGAGACAGCTGGTCCTCTCTCTGGAGGGCCTTCCGGGTCGCCTGCACTCAGGAAGGAGATCAGAGGGAGAGGTGCACTTGCTGTAGGTTCAGTTTAAGTGTATACTGCGTAGGTGTGTGTCAACAAATAGGGTTGCAAGGCAAACAACAGAACGTACACCAATGGGTAGCTCTGAGCTGTGCGCGGGCGGTATTCGAACCCACGACACTCTGCAGTCTAGGCGAGCGCTCTACCAACTGAGCTACCAGGGCAACTCAGCTGGTAGGGGCTCAAATCTGGACATAACTGAGTAAACAGTCAACAATGATTTTGAGCACAAAAAACAGCAAACTGAAGTCGAGAGAAATAAGCCCATCTTCTTCCAGGTAGTTTCGTAGCAAAAGGTGCTCAAAATATGCCATAAGATTTTGCCCTGTATGTTGTATTTCCCCCAGTCAAATGTAAGGTGACAGTAAAAGGTAAGTAAATCGGGAGTTACTGTACGTAGTATCTCACAAACCTTGGCCAGTTCCATGATGGCAATCTGCCTCTTGAGAGTCTTCACAAAGGTCGTTGCAGCTGCAGAGACGAGCCATCATCCAAACACCATAGCACATGCACACACACACATACACATACAGTGTTGCTCTCAATCAGTACGTGCAACGTGTATGTTTCTGCGTATTGTGTGCATCCTATAATAATATGGTACTTAACAAGCAAGCAGTTTATCGCAATGTGCGGCATTAATTTACATGTGATGCACATAACCCAAGTGTGAGTGTGTGCATGCAGACTCAGTTACTATTTTGGCAAGCAAGTAGAAGAAAAAACGCCTAGTATATAGCAATTTCTATTTAGAGCAGCTGCAAATGTCACTTTCACTAAAATCACTATTCATTGACAAAAGACAACATGTAATAACAAGCGTCCGTAGCCCTGTAAGAATTTTAATGTCACGTGTTAACACTTTAGGGGTTTCTGCTTGTTTAAAGGAGACCTATAGAATGCACAGTGAGGCACTGTTCTAAGCTAAGAACTCACACTTTTGTTTGGTGTGTCTGAGGGTCTCAGGGAGACCATCCAGTGCAGTGTCCAGCCACGGTCCCAGCTGGCCACAGAACTTTAGGACATCTTGGAGGAGGCTGAGGAGGGAGGGTACAGGGATTCAGAGGTTTCACAAGGAGGAGGAGGAGGAGGAAGAGGAGGAGGATGAGGAGGAGGAGGAGGGAGGAGGAGGAGGAGGGAGGAGGAGGGGAGGAGGAGGAGGAGGAGGAGGAGGAGGAAGAGGAGGAGGAGGGAGGAGGAAGAGGAGGAGGAGGGAGGAGGAGGAGGAGGAGAGGAGGAGTGAGGAGGAGGAGGAGGAGGAGGAGGAGGAGGAGGAAGAGGAGGAGGAGGGAGGAGGAGAGGAGGAGGAGGGAGGAGGAAGAGGAGGAGGAGGGAGGAGGAAGAGGAGGAGGAGGGAGGAGGAGGAGGAAGGAAAAGGAATGTAAAGCGATAGAAATCAGGACATGCATTATTGAATCGTGAATTCATGATGTATACTTATGATGTGTACATGATGGATCCCTTATCGGAGGTTGTTGGACACTTGATTATGAGTTACATATAATAACCTCTCAGGGAAGCTCTGGACAGGGGAGATGATGAGAACGGAGGAAATGACTGAGTAGAGGATAGTATCACAGAGAGCCACCAGGTCAACGACCACAGTACTGGCCATGACCGGGAGGAGGTGATGAGGCATGGCCTGCCAGAAGTGGAGCAGGAAATCTTCCACCTGCATGGGGGAAGGGGAGGAAGGGTGAAGGAGAAAGATTAAGAGAGAGGGAAGGAGGAAGGGAGGGAGAGGGAGAGAGGTAGGGAGAGGAGAGAGAGAGGGAGGGAAGAGGGAGAGGAGGAAGAGAGGGAGGGAGAGGAGGAAGAGAGGGAGAAAGGAGGGAGGGAGAGAGGGAAGATAAAACTCAGTATAGCTTTTCAGGCACTCACGAAAGCCTCTATCCTATACATACTAACTATAATTTCATGGATGGTAGGCGTATTGCACACAAAAAAAACTTAAAACAGTCGCCACTAGACTTGTGAACAAAGACTATACACTAGAAAGAGGCAACAGAACGAGGATGCAGTGCCACATACATACAGTAGTACTATATACTACAGGGGGAGTAGGAGAGGAAGGAAGAGGTAAGGAGATGAAAGAGGAGAGGGTAAGACCCTGTAGTTGTATAAACCTCATTGAAGTTGGCACGAGACACACTGTCCAGGATCCTCTGACAGTGGGTGCGGTACATCACCATGAATGTGGTCAACTGTAGAGACAGCAGAAACACACCACCATCATTGACATCTACATATGTACATACATATTAGCTGGCAGAGAAGTACATGATGTGCATGCTCGAGGCTGGGCACCCAGTGTCCTGCTCTCATGTCATGTCCCGTGTATTTGTGTATGTGTTTTTTATGGATATTATGGGATTTGTGGATATATATTGGTGGTGGTTGTTACATATTTATTTATTTCTCTATCTATCTATTTATCTATATATACCCATAGCTGGTATGCTATGAACTACATGCCCACATGTCGCTCGCCTAGACCGCAGAGTGTCGTGGGTTCGAATCCCACTTAGGGCAGGAGATGTCCTAGGTGTATGCAGTTGGGTTGTTTGCTTTGCCTTGCTATGTACCTTGTTGACATCACATGCACAGTTTTTTGTGTTCTTGAATTTCGCTAACATCATATGCCTGGATTTACAGTTTCTGTCAGTTCTAGTGCATGCTTAAACCAAAGGGACAGACACAGACATGCACCACAGTTGGATACTGCGGTGTACACATCTCAGTATGTAAGAACTTGGTAGCACATTGTACTTCATATAGAAAACCTACATATAATCGTGCTGGCCACAAACTATGTACGTGTACACACCAACTGTAGATGCCCTTCAAATCACGTGAACGTTTTCCACCTCAAACCTTTTCTTTCTGAGCGTTCAAGATATACATATGTAGTACAAAACACTGTATCAAGTTTTCAATAGCTGGCCGGTATTGTATATGTACGTATGTAGTAACCTTGTCTTTGGGGACCTCCTGCTGTAGTTTGAGTTGTTGATGTCATTGGGAATGTGGCAGAACAGCATCTCGGGTTCTCCTTGGGGTACACTGGAATGGACCTGGACTATATACACCGTTAGCACCAACAGCACAGTAGTCTAGATTACCACAGAAGTAAGGAACATGCTGACTATCTGCTTGTGAGACATCAATCAATGGCAAATGGGAAACATCACTTTCTACTCAGATTCCTCATACAGCTAGTACAGTCCCTGAGGACACAATTCAGTGGCAAAAGAGAATTTCGTGAGAAAATCCAATTCTCTTATAGTATGCATACATACTCCTCTCCTACTCACTAATATTCGTGGAATACTATAATGTCACGTGCTCAGAGATTGCTACACGCATACACCTAATGCAGGCGGTTCGGCTAATTAAAGCACCACACTTCTTGGAGTCAGGTTCCTTCTGGACACCCTGCAGGGAAGAGGGAGTGAGAGGGAGAGCGAGAGGGAGAGAGGAGGAGAGGGAGGAGAGGAGAGAGAGGAGAGAGCGGTGAGGGCGAGAGGCGGGAGAGAGAGAGACGGGGATGGAGGAAGGGAGAGAGAGAGAGAGGGAGGGAGCGAGAGGAGATTCTAGCAACATAAGACTGTGGATGGTGCCATTACTCACCCTTCTTCCTGTCTCATTAAATACTCTCTCATTGTCGTAGCGAGATGTGGGACTTGATACCAATCAACAAGTAGTGGTATCTGCAAATCATGTATAACATACAGGTGTCATTAGGCAAGTGAAGCGTGCTAGTACCTTGTCGTCTCAGTGTGGATTTTAACCCTCGCGTGCATGCGCATGCGAGGGTACCGGTAGCTCATCTTTGTCTGTCTGTGTGTCTGACGACTTATTCTGGCAGCTACAGGCTACGAGCGCCATATAGCGCGATTCACCAGTGGATTCAGAACTACGCGACGGAGCCGAATCAACAAATAAACGGCGATTTTGCCCTGAAACGAGAGATATGCCGTGTGAAACAAGCAAAAAAGCCAATATTCATATCGCACTGGAGCTTACCGCGACCTTGATCCGCTCACTCGGATGTCTACCTTGGGGGCCTAAGGAAGTCACAACGAATGGCAGGTATCGACTCCCGCATGCTATCTACTACGGTAGCTCGTCCGTGTCACGACTCTCACGCGATGCTATGTCTCTAGCGGAGAACCGAGGGTAAAGTAAACACACTACAGTCCAAATAGCCGGCCAGCCCAATCAATTAGCAGTATCGCGCATGCGCAGTGTTCGCCGAGGGTTTCCGCTTCAGTGCTATTCATTCTTTGATGGGCACGGCCTGTATACATGATACTAATATGTGTGTGAAAATTGAGCTCATAATACTCGCACTCGATTGCCAAAAAAATGCTTGTAAATAGACTAGTGAGAGTCTTATGCAACTGGTATACGTAAGCTGATTAAAGTGACGCGCCCGGTGTTTGTTTCCCAGCCGATTGTCTGTGATAAGGCAGAGGTGGGGTATATGTTTCCTGTACGAAGTCATACACATGCAGGGCAATATTCCAGAATCCCCAGTTACTTGCCAAAAATGGTGCATTCATTCTTATTTCCTCTCTAGAAAAAACTGCGGCAGACATGTGATTAACAGCTATAGGTGTACAATACAGCTGCCCATGTCTTCATATAAAACATGCACAATCTGTGATTTTGAAAGAATTATTCAATGGAACCCCCTTGTCCAACGCTGTTTAAAAACAGTGGGTATTGCCTGGAATATTTGCGTGACTTGTTAAGCCCTAACATCATGTCTCTGCATTCACGGCTTGTATGCCGTGAGATGCCAGAACTCTACAAGTCACTAGGTCTAACACAGTAGGGACTCGAGCAACACTCTACTCTACAACAAAGACACTTTTCTTCTACTAGACTACGTGCACTCTTTGACCTGCGAGATTTCAGGGACGACACCTCCTCTACAAGGGACAAAAATCATTGGCACCATAGTCCCTTGTTCGAGGTTACACTGTATTCACCAGAATCCCCTCACTGTAAGTGCACGTGAGACAACAACCCTCACTTGAATTTTTCCTCTGGGTGCCCAGTCTTCTGGTGGTGAGGCGAAGAGATGAGCGGAAGAGAACTGCCATGCCTGATCACACTGCAGAGGAGACAAAAAACCATTAACCCATTCTCCTTGAATAATACCCTTCGAGTTAGCCATCGAAACATTTGTGTAGATGAAGTTAGTTACAATTTCAGCTTTGGTTGTAGTTTTCAGTTTTGTATTACATATCAGGTGTGGCATACGACAAATGAGTGGTCATTGCAACAGGGGTCTAAAGATTAGGATGGTGGTTCGGAATTACTGCCTTTTTCTTTCTTCTTCTTTTTTTTTCCCGGGTCTTTTTTTTTTCCCTTTCTGGACTAACGCTAACTCCTAGGTACTCATCGACACACCACCACATGTGAGATTTTAGCCCAGGGATTTTTTGACCGTAGGAATTTTACCGCTTGATACTTTGTCTGTACCCCCTCTCCCCCTGTCCACAATTGACATTCTGATTTCTTCCTTTTCCCCCGGTAGACCGCCTCCAGTGAACTCCCCCCCTACCGATCACTCCCCCCCTTGTACAGGATTTTTTTAGGTCTAGCCTCTATTCCTTCTATCCAACCACTCTTGCAGTACATTTAACCCCCAGTCCAACCCCAACTGAACTCATGCTCACCAGCGGTTCCAACACGTCAGCTGGCTATTGGCCGGATTAAAATTTTTTCACAGACCCAAACACCAAGACACAATTTTGTTTTTTTCCATTAACCTCCCAACCATCTTTTACCCCCACCCTTTTTGGGCTGACTGATGGCTCACCAAGCTTATCATTCTTTCTCCCTAACCTCCATGCTCCCGTTTAACTGTACGTGCCCATGCGGTTCACTATAACAACTCCAAAAGCCCCTGGGTCATAGGAGGCACTACATACTCCACGAATCCCCCAACCAGCTTGACACACACGCTGACACTTGTACTCCTGTTTCCCCTTTCTACAAGGATTTTTCCCCCATGCTCATTGGACTTACTTCGCACTTGTATTGCACTACCCTCTCTACACTTCAAGCTTTGCTTTCCCCGGAACTCTTGATTCGGGCGCCGGATTTTGCTTTTCTCGTTCTATGACTATCAGACCACGTGCACGTCTAATTTGTGCACTCAGTAGATTGTCGCCACCCTCGTCAGAGCGACAGAACCAAAAAATTTTCTTCCCACACTAGTCGGTTCTACGTTGTTTTTCACGATTCCACACACCCTAAATGGATTTCTTTCCCCTCTCCTTCTTCATTCTCCCCCTCTTTTTGTCTTTAGCCAGAGCGGGAGAGGGAGTTTTGGCCCGGATTCCCCCAGCCCGACCTATGGGAGGGGGGAGGCCGCATTTGTTGTTGTATATGTAATACACAGTACGCCCCGGGTGTATTTCCCCGGCCGTGTTTAGCCCACGGACCGAAGGTGTTAGGAGGAAGGCCCCGACGCGATTCAGGAGGAGACAATAGGGGCTTTGGTCAATTTAAAACTGGCCCAATAAGAGCGTTTTAAACCTCAATTAGGTCCCCTTATTTTTGCTTTTTCTTTTCGAAAGGGTGAAAGTATACGTAGACCCAGCGGCCTCCTGTTTATCTTCCCCCCTCCCCTTTTTAGTTTGTACCTACCTATTTGCTTACCCAATGAATTTGCTCCACACCCTACACTCTAAACTATTTCGTCCAGTGAGGGCCGTTTGTTGCCGGAGGGCTAGGCCCGACGAAGGGTATTTTTGGAGGAAGGACCCGGTTGAGACATCAGGTTTCTGCATTCCGTGTCAAAACATACATGAAGTTAAGAGGTATTTACAACAGGCCCCCCCTTCTTGTTGCTTACGATACGCGGGAAACCCTGAATTTAAAGTTATGTTAAAGTGATTTGTACACTCATCTTTAGGTTAAAACTGTATGGGTTGACTTTGTATTACACCTTAAGCAACAATTTAAAAAATATAAGTTCTATTTTACACCACTGTGAATTTGACTAACAACAATCATCCTTTTGGTGTCGCGCATTTTCTTGTGGCTCTTGTGCCCATGGATCTAGGGATCTTGCATACGCACCCGGGGGAAGAGAGTGACCCGATGGTTGTTGAACCGGAGATGGAGAATGTGGAAACTTATCTGCTCTCTTCTCTTTTTTCTTCCTTTGCCACCGCACATTGAGTTACTCCTCGAGATGAGGTGTGAGAGACTTTACCGAGGTTCCACGCGAAGCTAACCACCTCCCACTTCGACTACTGACCAAGAAATACTAGGTCTTCGCCTCTATCCCCAAAAATACTGTATGGACCCACCACGTTTTACAGGCCATTCCCTAGCATTGATGATGTCACTGATTATGCGTCACTAATCAGGCTGTTGTATGTAGCATTCTCTTCTCATGAAATAACATGCCTTCCCTAGGAAACTAATTAGTATTCCTGGAAAGGTTGGAATTGCACAATAGATGGACCCTCCCTATTCTCGGATAATATAATTTCCTCCCATCATCGGACAAGCACACAGTCAACCACAAAGTCAACCACACTAGGACAACTCTTTTCCCCAAGGAAATGCCCTAGGTGGGATTCGAACCCACAACACTCTGCCTCTCTACAGGTGAGCGCTCTCAGCGTAGGATACCAGTTTGATTGACTGAGAGTAAGCAAATTGGGAGAATCAGAATGATATTTGTCAAACTCTCTCAACGTTGTAAACCAAGTGCTAGCCGCCAAAAAAACGAGGAAGGAGACAGAGGGAAGGAACGGAGGGATGGAGGGAAGGAACGCTACACAAGTAAGCCACCTAGACATCTGAGCAGTCACACAGCTGTAGTTCAAAGTCATGGTCTACAGTGTACACTTGACATCTCCCATAGCAAAGATAACACACTGTTGTTCCTTTCAGCCAAGAACAAGCTGGTGTGAGGAATTCCTTCCTCCTTCAGTTGAGAAAAAACTACAAACAATTCTCCCACATACTGTTTCCCCACAAATCAGGACCTTGCCTAGAATAGAAAAACAGTCATGGCAATGGAGAGTAAACTCCCTAATTTCTTCCCAATTAGTTGCCAAGCATTGCCCTGCTAACGCTCATTGTGGCTATGGCCAGTTGGTAGTGCCACGGCAACCAACACTCCACGGTCAATTAGCAAAACATCTCATTCCACCCTGTACTAACTGCCCACCTACATCGGCACATTAGAACTAAACCCAGTTGCCATAACAGAGAGGGAGAGAGCAGAGTACTTCATTTCAGGTAATTCCTGGCAGTGGTGTGCTGAGTGTATATTGGGTTATGCTGATGGCTGGGCAGAAATAGAGTGGGTCCACTCAGACACACGTTCCAAATGCCACACGCTAGCCAAGACAGTCTACACACTCCAACCTTATATCGGGATAATTAGCCACCAGAATATCACTATACACACTACTGGGTATAATACACTGTACTTTGCACACACACACAGGGGGGAGAGTGCGTCGCCACGGAGATTGTATACATGCTCTTGCATCGCCGTGGTGACACACAGGGCTAGGTTGGCAGCGGTGTCACTCTAGTGGCATTCCCAGCCAGGTTGCCCCGGCAACAGAGCACCGCTACCTCGCTACTGAAGAGGCTAATACTCGAAATTGCATAAGTTAGAGTTGCCTCTTTGGATCTCTACATGTCAGAGGGAGTACAGTATATAGTTATCAGAACTGTGGGATAGCAAGTAAGACTAGGCTATCACATTTGGAACAACGCTACCTCGCTACTGAAGAGGCTAATACTCGAAAATTGCATAAGTTAGAGTTGCCTCTTTGGATCTCTACACGTCAGAGGGAGTACAGTATATAGTTATCAGAACTGTGGGATAGCAAGTAAGACTATAGGTTATCACATTTGGGAGAATACACTTGTAGCCTCAATTGAGTTACGGCCTGTTCTGTGCCTCTGTCACATGCAAAGTACCAGATCAAGTACACACACACACACACATCTGTGAATCTCGACGTACATAGTGCACACAATGCAACTGTCCATTCCATACATACATGTACGTACGTACGTACGCATGAACACCTAAAGCACAGTGGGCTACATAGTGTATGTACGTTGAGTGTACAAGGATACAGAGCAACCTGCAGTGGCGGATATAGGATTTTGAAAGGGGGGGTTCCGCTGTCCAGAACGTTCGTTTTCGACTGCGCTCGTGCGCGCGCACGAGGCCGGCGACGCATGCGCACAAAACGACAAAAAGGGGGGTTCCGCGGAACCCAAGGAACCCCCCTGGATCCGCCACTGACCTTGTACCATAATATGTACATGCAGTAATCCTAGAAAAACCATTATGTGTATAATAGTGTACATCTCGAAGCACGTTTTGGGGCATGTGCATTGCAACTGTAATCATGTACATATATAATGAAACACTAAAGCCCTGAGCATGTATGTATGTACATGTGTCATCAAAGCATTCTCAAATCATGGTCATATAAAAATGGCTTGTGAGTTGTTCCTTTCAGGCATAACAAGCAACCACCATCACATACACGTAACATGTACAACGTGTGTGTGTGTGCGTATAATATCCAAATCTCAATAAGGAAACAAGGGGTTTTAGCATCGCTGGCTAGAATGGATGGAGACAAACAGCAGCGATCTATGGCAAAATGGCATACCATGCATACACAGGGACACCTGAAACAAATTGAGGGACATGCACTGGGAAATGAGGTGAAACACCACAACATATTTATTGTTACACACCCACACATAAAAATCGAAATTATTTGCTTCTACTCTGGTACAGAAAAAACTCTTCTTAAATAGAGCCAATGCAACCTTCAGCAAACTTGGGTGCAAAATTTGCGCGATCCAGTAAAACAGCTGAAAATTTGAGCCCACGTTTGCTGAAGGATAATTTCGATGGCTGGTTGGGCTCGCTTCACTCAACAATCAATGCAGTGAACATACATAATTATGTATACTCGCTTGCCCATGGGTCACTAACCATTTCACAATGACCTGCGTGGAATGACAGTTCTGTTGCACAGCGGAAAAATCCTTGTAGTCTGCTTCCGAGTCTACATAGTTAGAGCAGGAGGAGAGAGAGGGTGAGACAGCGAATGAGATGTTACAAACATGTTTTACATTGCTACTGGGGATACGGTGTTTCAGGTGAGAGACAGCGGTGCACAGTGTATGTACACGATGGCTAGCAGGGAACCAAAAGGAAGTGCTAATCCTCGACCATAATCCACACCGTGTGTTACTAGAAGTGCAGAGCATGAAAGTCGGGTAAGTGGGGAAAAAGTGGCGAATTGGATGAGACAAAAAGCACAAACAGAGGAGACGAAAGTTAGAACTCTAATCGATTGAAATTTAGTCCGAATCGCAGTCGCATCCGAGGTCTAATCGGCTACTTGAGGCACCGGCACTATTCGGGATGTCAGGACAATTCAAAGTCGGCTACTTGAGGCACGGGCACTATTCGGGATGTCAGGACAATTCAATGTCTATGTACGTGGTATCCTGTGGAGATCATCAGAAGCAAGTCGAATCGTGGTCGAAGGATTTCGACCACGATTCATTCAGCTTTCATCACGTGGGATTTGACCACTGGCTGCCCCTCTAGCTGAATGGTGTTTTTTTGTTTGACTCAGACGAGGGAGAATATAGTATAGGGTTGAAAACTCTTGGTTGTGTAGTACTAGATCCTGATGCCCTGAAGACACCAGTTCAGAGGCAGATAGACAAAAGATCACACACTGTATTCCCGTTTCCTGTCACCTATGTATGTAACTCTGCGCGTCTAGAGCGCTGGTTGTGGCTGGAAAAGCTATTCGGACGCTTCCTGTGCCTCTTTTCACTCTTCCTCCTTCACACAGAGCGTTTCTATTATCGTGGCTACAGGTTAGCATGTGCATAGAGGCAGTCCCCAAGCGGTTATATTGAGTGAAGCTTATCTCTCCCGCCTTGTCTCCCTCTAGAATTACATACAGCCGGCGGACTGTCGTCTTTCTCACCGCTGAGAGGGTCCAGCTCCTCCGGCCTCGGCGGTGGTGGTTGCCCAGGGTAGCAAGCCATTGCTCTCTGGCACGTTATCTGGAAATGAGCTGGGCGGGGATTCGGGGGGGGAGAAGCTCACGCGTGTCGTCTCTTCTCTATCGCTCTCCACACCAGCACGACACTGTCCCACAGCTTATGTAGAGAATGGTAGCGCTCACGAGCGTGGCCCGGGCATCTTCTCATCGACAGACGGTAAACGACAGAATGATGAGCGAGCGCTGTATCCAGGCAATGAAAATTCCGACCCTTGGAATGTGAACTGCTTCTCAGTATGCGCTAAAAATAGAGAGCGGATTTCTGAGGCACCACAGTTTTATACCTATTTTTAAACCTTGTGAGAAAAATCATCTGACAACAGATACTGGGGGACAATATTATTTTTTCCGTCTGGGGAAAATTTTTCAGAGCAGCCTTTGCGTCCTGTTGTTGAGAAAATCAATTTTCTTGCACAGAACTACATACAGTCTCAGTATTGTCAAGAGATACAGGGTAAAGTTTTTATACTACACATCGAAAAACACAAGAATTGTCTCCCACATTTCCCTCGTGAGAAAATCATCGTACTGGGTGCCGTTGTAGTCGAGCGAGTCAATATTCCAAAAGGCCAGCCCGTAGAGACCGACCCGTGCGGCGTAGTCGTACTTGAGCGACAGGCTTTCGGTATCGTCAAACCAGACTTGGTGGTACTCCCCGCTCGTTGCCCTGTAATTGAAAAACGGGGATTCGAGTGACGCGTTCCACTGCACAAACGACACCGATGCCTGAATGAGTCTCACGATCTCATTGTACGGTCGTTGCGTCCCTGCCGCATCGCTACAGTTAACTCCGCGAAATGGGACTTTGGGTATGGTGCAGACACTATCGTCTGTTAGGGAGAGACAGGGGTAGTCATAGCCGTACCACGGGAGACCTAAAACCAGTTTCTCGGGGGGAATTCCCAGTTGTGTGTATCCATGGAGACCGACGATGGTCGTGGGTAGAGCAGAGTTTGCACTGGCCGTACAGGCCCCGAGTATCTGGCTCCGTTCGTCGTACGACATCACCACGACAAAATCGACAGCAGCGGCGATTGCGACATAGTCGTAGCAGCGTCCGTCGATGCAGTCTGGGGACCAGGCGACGTCGAACGTCACCTGGTAGTCGTCGTTGGCACTCTTGAACGCGGCAACAGTGTCTCTCACTAGTTGGGTGAGTAGCTCCTGCTGCTCGGTACTGTTCGGAGCTCGCCCTCAATGTCGATGTTGAGACCGTCTGCAAACTGAGACTGCACCGCCTTCAGGTTATTGTCAATCCACTCCTGGGGTCATATAGTATAGGTACATATTACACTTACCAAGCTGCAGATAAAGCAATTGTACGTACAGTGGAGGCGCCGCCAATAAGGGACCCTCGAAGATAAGGACGACCTCTCTATAAGGACACTTGTTTCAACCCCATGCTCATACTTTAGTGTATTATTTGACCTCTAAGATAGGGACGACCTCTCTACAAGGGACAAAATCATTGGCTCCATAGTGTCCCTTGTTCGGAGGTTCCACTGTATTATATGGGGCATTTTTGTTTAAAGGGAATGTGTCAGTACATAAGGGCTAAATTTAGAAATGTTACACTAAACAATAGGGCCCAGTGGTTCCATTTTCAATTTTCAGTACTCATTAGCTTTAAAAAAACATGCTGGCCCACCAAAATGTATGGGCTGGCAAACAAGGGCATCACGAAACAGTGTGACTTGTGGCTTTTGGTGGGACAGCAAGCAAGTTTCACTGTTCTGAACTGTGATGCTTATTCCAACACCCACACACTCACAAACTGACTTTGACGCTGGAGGGATCGTTCAGTTTGCTGGTGTCGTAGTTCGCCGAGAGAACCACGCGGACGCCCTTGGAGTGGGCGTAGCAGAGGAGCGTGTCGTTCATTCCCGTGAAGAGAGCCACGGTCGTGAGCAGAGTCCAGTTGTAGCCCGGCCAGTTGGTTTCTGACGTCACAAAACCTAGCACCTCTTTGTCGCGCACCCCCTTGATGGGCTCGCAGAGGGAGGGGACGCTGCAGGGGCACGAAGAGGCCACCAGCCCGCAGCACAGCGTAGCTGCCAGCAACAGGCTCGCCAAGACCCTTCTTCCTTCAGCCATCTTTTGCTGGAAAATGCTGTGCGCATGCGCAAACCTGCTCATGCATCATGTGACAGCTGAGCTGAGCTCCAGCTATACTTTTTGTTCTCTCGAGTTCACCCCATCGGTGTCTCTGTGTGTGTGCGTGTCTTATACTTGCCCGAGCGAGAAAGAGAGAGGGAGAGACCAGCCAAAATGTCTTCTGCAATGGAATGCCTGACGAAGTTCAACCAACTCATCCTCATCATTGTCAACATCTTTGTTGCAGTGAGTGTGGGTGAAGAGAGAGGGAGAGAGGGGGATGGTGCAGTGGAAGAGAGAACGGGGGGTTTGTAAGGCAGACTTAGATGAGTAAGTAGCTAATGACTCTGTAGTACGGAGCACGCGGTGTTGAGTTTCACTCTGTACTATGTATGTATATACCGCGTCCTGCATGCATACATGCGGAGTTGCCTGAGTTTTTTCACCTCACAAATGATCTGTGACCTCTCAGATAGAGAATTGCTATTGCATTGGTCTTTTTAGAGCACTCTAGACCCTCCTAAGCATGACAGACTTAGACATGACCTTGTAGCTCCTCAAAAGTTGTTACCTCGCAGAGAATTCACGAGGTCTTCTTTCAGACTACTGTAGCTCCATATTGATAAATGGTGGTGAGAGTGTACATGTTTGAGTGGTGTGACCTTGTAGTGTGTGTACAGAGTTTGGGATGTCCAGGTGGAGCTGTATAAACAATGTTCACTCACCAGAGTTATCCTGACATGTGAAATGTTAACACACCAGAGTTATCCTGACATGTGAAGTACGCATTAGCTGGCGGGATGCAAACAGCAGCTGGCCATTGGCAACAGTTTATGCCAGCACCTCCCTGTGATATCAGGCAAATACTGAATCTTGGGCAGCGTGTAACCCTTTACTTTTCACCATAATGTGTCCCCTCCCCCTTCACCTGCCACCTCTACTTCCCCATTTCCTGCCTCACCGAATTATCAAAGTAGGGCTTCCTTATTACGTTATGGTAAGTGTATATGTAAAGTCCTTTTGAGAAGGATACAATGGCACAGTCTAAATGTAATGAGAAGCTTTCGGCCCAGTGTCTCTCCATAGTCTAGTGCTCTTGTTTCTAAAACACAGTAGGACTAGAGTAATTTGTGTTACAGTGAATTGTTCACCAGGTACTGTAGTTTAGGGATGGGCATGGCACCTAGCATCATAGATGTATGGGGCCATGATGGGGAGTTTGGTTCATACACATTGTCTACAAAATATTGAGCAGCTCGGATTGAGAAAGATTGGGAAAGGGGGGAGAAGGGCTTGTGTTCAAGTGAATTTAGCATGACCTCTCTCGTCCCTGGCCAGACATGTACAGAAGGTGTACAAAGTGGTGTGCCAGCAAAGACAAATGACGAGTATAGCATCATGTGACATTTAGTTGTGTACATCACATGGTGTGTGATGCTATTATGTATAGGTCATGTGAGGAACTCCTCAGGTCCAATGAAAACTTGTGACTTTTGGGTAGTTCCAGTTTCAAATCACAGGTTGCTATGAATTTAATTTTCTTCCTCCTTCCTTCTCTCCCTTCCTTCTCTCCCTTCCCTCTCCTTCCCTTCATTCACAACACGTCTCACAGTACAATCCCTCACCCTCCCACGTCCCCTCCTCCCCTCCACCTCCCCTCCCTCTCCTTCCCCTCATTCCTACATCCCTCCCTCCTCCCCTCCTCCCCTCCCCTCCTCACTCCCCCTCCTCTCCTCTTCTCTCATTGGCCTATATCTTTTGTCACCCTCCCTCTCCTCCTCTTCCCTCTCCTCCCTCCCCTCCTCCTCCCTCTCCTCCTCCTCCTCCCCTCCTCCTCCTCTCCTCTCCTCCTTCCCCTCTCCTCCCTCCTCCTCCTCCTCCTCCTCCTCCTTCCTCCCCTCCTCCTCCTCCCTCTCCTCCTCCTCCTCCTCCTCCTCCTCCTCCTCCTCCTCCTCCTCCTCCTCCTCCTCCTCCTCCCTCTCCTCCTCCTCCTCCTCCTCCTCCTCCTCCTCCTCCCTCCTCCTCCTCCTCCTCCTCCTCCTCTCTCCCACAGTTACTGGGTATCTGTGTGATGATTGTTGGATCATGGGCAAAGGTAGGGGCCATCGATGTCTGCATATTATATTACACACAAATTAACAACTTTTGCTGTATTCTGCAACCCATGCAATGACATTTTCTTTTTTCTATGCTATATGTGTGTGTTTCCACTGATTTGTTGGGCCCCATTCTCCACTTATTGTGGGTGTATTCATTTTCCTTGGCACTTATCAACCTAGACACACCACGTAAGATTATTTTCATGTGGTTTAGTATTCACTGCTCTCTGTGGTTTAGTATTCACTGCACCAATGAATAACTGTTATTGTGGTATACAGTGAACAGTGCTTGTAACAAAGAGGTAGCAAAGCCAACAAGTCAACTACACCCAGGGCAACTCTTTTTTAAAGAAGAGGTGCCCTGGGTGGGATTCGAACTCACGTCACTCTGCAGTCTAGGCGAGCGCTAAACCAACTGTGAATGTATGTTAGTTAATGAGATGTCTAAATCTGAATTCTTCCTCCGTCAGGCTGACAGCAAAGAGTTCTTCCTCATAGCTGATGACGACACGGAGTACACGCAGGTGTCAGTCCTGCTGATTGTGGTAGGGATCTTTGTTCTCATCATTGGAGTGGTTGGGGCTGTGGGGGCACTGTTTGCCAGCAAGGCCTTTGGTCGTATCATCCTCGTCGTGGTGAGTCTCTCTCCTCCTCCTCCTCCTCCTCCTCTTCCTCCCCCTCTTCCTCGTCCTCATCCTCCACCTCCTCCTCTCCCTCCTCCTCCTCCTCTCCCTCCTCTCCCTCCTCCTCCTCCTCCTCATCCTCCACCTCCTCCTCCTCCTCCTATTCCTCCTCCCCCTCCTCCCCCCTCCTCCCCCTTCCCCTCAATGTATAACATTTTTGCTAGTGCATAGCATTTTCCTAGCTGCAACATTTTAGGTGGAGTGTATAGCTGTAATTAAGGGGCAGGTGACCTCGTGAATTAGAAAAGTACTAAAACTCACTATATATAATTCAGCATTTCAGCTATGCTATTGATAAAAATGGTCACCCCCAATTACGGTATCTTACGTAAGTGCACATGCATAAAATCCACACCACATAATAGCCAGAAACCATTGTGGTATAGGTCTGTAACTGCTTTGTGTATGTTAATGTATTGTACAGTATGCCATATCCCTGGGACTGCTGGTAGTGTGTGAAATAGCTGGAGGTATCACTGCTGCTGTGGCCAGGAACAAGGTAACATCTCTCCCCCCCCTCTTCCCTCCCTCTCTCCTTCCCTCCCTTTCCCCCTCTTCCCTCTCTCGACTACAAAGGACACTTGTTTCAACCCCATGCTAATACTTTAGTGTATTATTTGACCTCCGAGATAGGGACGACCTCTCTACAAGGGACACTTGTTTCAACCCCATGCTAATACTTTAGTGTATTATTTGACCTCCGAGATAGGGACGACCTCTCTACAAGGGACAAAATCATTGGTCCCGTATAGTGTCCCTTGTTCAGAAGTTCCACTGTAATAATGTCAGTTGCTGTGTGTTCAAAGGTGGAGTCAGTGTTCAGAGACAGTGCCAACTCAACCTTCAGCAAGTACAATGACTCCAGGGACTCTAGTGAGAGAGACACCTGGAACCAGTTTCAGAAAGACGTGAGGAAAACTCGATTTCCTTTCTCTCTCCCTATTTCCATAGCTCTCTCTCTCTTGTCCCTGCCCTCTTTCATTGCCACTTCATTGACTTGCATACACTGCAGCCCTATACCTTCTGCTTTTCTTTTTTCGGACCCTCATCAACCATTTCCACCGCTCCATCCTCCCCCAGATTACCTCTTTCTCCTCCTTGTCTTTACTCTCTCCCCTTCTCCCCTCCTCCCTATTATCTCTTCCTCTACCCCTGTCGTACCTCACTCCCCCTCCTTCCTCCCCTATCTCCCTCTCCCTCTCTCCTCCGTCCCCTCCTCTCATATCCTCTTCCCTCCTTAACCTCTCTTTATCCCTCCCTCTTCCCCTCTTTCCCCTTACCTCTATCCCTCCCTCCTCCTCCTCCTCCTCCCCCCCCTCCCCCTCCCACACCAGTTCAAGTGTTGTGGAGTAGAGAGCTACAAAGACTATCGCACTGTCTTCAAGAACGACTCGGTCCCTGTCTCCTGTTGTGACTCCAGGAAAATTGATGATGGAGAGAACTGTACAATGGTGGTCCAGAATGTCACGAACAATGCCAACCATTACATCTACAGCAAGGTGGGCCCATTTTATACTGGTGAGAGGGAGGTAGAGAGCGATAGTGAGAGAAAGAGAAGAGAGAGAGAAGAAAGCGGAAGGCCTAAGGCTAGGTTCAGAATACGCCGCGTTGTGCCGTGCGGTGTTGCTCCACATCACAACATTTCCGTTCCTGCCGCACAGCATGATAGCCCTCTGCAAAGTATTGTGAACCTAGCCTGAGACTTGTAGATATCTACTGACATTCTCCTACATACATAATTATTGCGTGCGGAATAAAGGAAGGGCCCCCCAGAGAATATTTAACACCTCCGCCTTATCACTGGTAAAATTTATTTGGGCTCACTCCTTAGTTTTTGCATGTTTCAATGTGCCCCATCTTCCTGAATTTCCCCCACTGACCGCTGTTTGGTAACACTTTCTTGAACGCTTACATGTTTTAGACGTCGGCAGATTCAAATTGACCAATCAGATTGCGTAAAACGTGGATTCTAAATCCCGTATTTTCCAAGTGCGTGTTTCCACGGAGATGCCCGCCAAAAAATGGCGTCTTCGATGGGGGTGTGGCAAGCTTCCGCGCAAAGAAACTCGCTCTGTCGCTGAGAGCTCGCTGTGACGACTTGAAACCCGCTATATCCGATGCTTCTTCGATGAAAGGCCTGTCTACGATGCAAAAAGAAATAAAAATGAAGACCTTTTTAGCTTCCCCCAGTGAGAGCGAGTCTCGCGGAAGACGACGGACAAGGACGATTTTGACGGCCAGCACGGCCTCCATCTAAACAGGTTATATGGAAATACGCGACTTAGAGGGCACGAGGGGCCCTGAGCTGTAGCTGTCTGAGTGCAGCGAAGACACTACTAAGGGCTCCGTTGACGCGCAGTATAACCTATAATGTTATACGATGGCTTGTGGTTAGGCCTTGATAGATAATGTTTTTTGGCCTATTATTCTATTCTTTAATGCTCCAATTTTCTGCCCATTATTTTTTCCAGAAATGCATACACAAATAACATAATACAACTCCATCAACACCTATTAATTGTAACATAGCAGATATTTGAATGTCGTCTTCCAATGCAGAGGTTTGAGATTTAGAGAAAAATGCTTTTCTTCGCTCGAGTCAGTATGGTTAGTGCTTGATGGCGCCGATTCAGAGAGGATTCCCGCTTGAAGACGAAGAGGTCTCTTGCTCCAACTCGGCCATTTTTACACGAGGCATGCGAACTGCGCATGCGCATTACATCCTACCCCAAAACCTCCCTATTATTCTCAGCATTATTCTCGATTCACATCCATACTCATTTTTCTCAAAATTATGCAACAAGGCCTACTTGTGGTCTACTGGTTATACTGGCCCTCCAGTGGTCTATCAAAACTGGGGCCACGAGTGTGCAACCAGTAGACCACAAGCCAAAGCCATAGTATAAGGTGTTTGTATGGTGACATCCGGTGGTAACTTATCACTGTTACTCTGTTTTGGCATATGTATGTATCTGTGTGCAGGGATGTGCAGATGCCATTGTAGATTCCATCAGTAAAAACCTTGGAGTGATTGCCGGATGTGCCATTGTCTTTGCCCTCTTCCAGGTAAGAGTTCACTGTAGACCACACCTACTTTTGGATCACACCATTATGTCAGAGTTCACTGTAGACCACACCCACTTTAGCTAGACAACACCCCCTTGGGTCATAGTTTACTCTCAACCTGTAGACACACCCCTTTGGGTCAGAGTTCATTCACTGTAGACCACACCCACTTTAGCTCTCAACTTGTAGACAACACCCCATTCTGTCAGAGTTTACTCTCAACCTTTAGGCAGCACCCCTTTGGGTCAGAGTTCATTCACTGTAGACCACACCCACTTTAGCCTCAACATGTAGACCACTGCCGGCCTTTAGGTCAGTGTTAATGTACACTTGGCTGGTTGTGCTGAGTAACTGCCGGCCTTTAGGTCAGTGTTAATGTGTACGCCAAGCCCCTTTAGGCCATTATGTGTAAATTGATACCATTTCAACTCAGGAAGTTAAGACATCCCAATATTAAGGAAGGCCCCAAGGGTAGTGTCCACATACCATAGGCTTGAGCCACTTGGCTGGTTGTGCTGAGTAATTGGTTTGATGAGAGTATCCTCCAATGCCATCTGAGCGATCCAAGCTGGCACGATGTGTCGATGATTTGAGTGAGGCCTTGAACTGTGCCTCACATTGTCATTACCTAGACACAGACAGCCCGCGCGTGTGCCAGTTAGCTATAAAATAATTCAACATCTCTTTATCCACCCCTTCTCCACCCGCCTCTCCTCCTCTTCTCCTCTCTCTGTCCCTCTTTAACACTCATCTCCCTCTCCTCCTCTCTTCCTATCTCCTTCCTATCTCCTTCCTCACCCTCTCCACCCTCAACTACTCCTCCCTCCCTCCCTCCCTCCCCTCCCCTCCCTCCCTCCCTCCCCTCCCCCTCCCTCCCCTCCCTCCCCTCCCTCCCCTCTTCCATTTCCCCTCCCTACGCTCCTCCTCCCCGCCTCCCCCCTCCCCTCAGATCATCGGGATTGTCTTGGCATGTTTCGTGGCCATCTGCAAGAGAGACAAGACATATGAAGTAGTCTAGTCCACACAATAACATCACTGGGATTCGTACTTAGTGCTCAGTTTTTCTTTTGTGTATACATTATGCACACGCAACACTTTTAATGAAAATGGCTGTGGATATCACGTTAATAATGTGTGTGTGGAAGTGAATCTGAGACGGAAATTGGCGTAAGTGGAAGTGCCGGCCATTTGGGCTTATCTTATCTTCAACTTGTCTATATTATATATTTGAACAAAACTCGTATATACACTGCAGTTCAATGGGTATGGAACAGTAGTGCTCCAGAAAGCGTGGCAACTGGCAGTATAATAATATTACAATGAACGGTGTCGTGTATAATTATAGTGTCGAAAGTGTGCAGAATGTGTATATACTATTATAATACATGGCCACGCTGGAATTCCTTTGATCTTACGTGTTTCTCTTCATGTATAATTGAAGGGGTCAGAGTCAGAGTGAGACAACCCTCAATATATACAACTCTTGCCGGTTTTCCTTCAAATATGTTCTAAGTATATATTATACATGGCGGTGCGTGGTTTACTGGTTGTACACGAGTGGCCAGTTTTGATAGGGCACGAGGGCACAGCCCTGAGTGGTCTATCAAAACTGAAGCCACCCTGGAATTCCTTTGATCTTGCGTGTTTCTCTTCATGTATAATTGAAGGGTCAGAGTCAGAGTGAGACAACCCTCAATATAATATACAACTCTTGCCGGTTTTCCTTCAAATATGTTCTAAGTATATATTATACATGGCGGTGCGTGGTTTACTGGTCGTACACGAGTGGCCAGTAAGCCACGCTGGAATTCCTTTGATCTTACACTCAGTCATCATACAAATGTCCTTATAGAACAAAAACCGGCAAGAGTTGTATATTGAGGGTTGGCTCACTCTGACTCTTGACCCCTCATAATTTAATTTATTATTAGATGGTTCCTCTGATTTTTCCTGAGACAGGCAAGGTTCTTTCTTCAGATTAACGAGGGTTTAATAAACGATAGAACGGCGGCCTTGGTTGATGTTACTATCCATGGAGATAGAGCAATTCTGAAGATTATTTATCAGAGCGTCGGTAGACGCTCTATATAGGGATGACACGGGTGAAATCTCACGTGATCCGCGTACAAAACGCCTCAAAACTTGGCGAGAATGACTCACCATTGCTTGAAAATCACTAGCAATAGTCTACAGGCCAATACCTAGCTATACATACTCCCCAAGACTTCCTACGTGCCCTCAGTTCCCCACGAGAGAATTGGCTCTTACGCGATTTCACGATTTTCGTGTCATCATCATCATCATATTCTTCATCTTCCGGTTTCTTCTTCAGTAAACCCGCTATCTCGTTACCGAAAATAGTTGAAGTGCTGATTTTTCCATCAAACGTTTCCAGATTCGCCAGAGGTGTGCACGGACATCAAGCGATCGTCTCTTTCTTGCCGCAAGTCACTACGGTAGATCGTTGAGCTCCTCCACGGTAGTCACTGAACAACGCCATTTTTGCTGCTAACTCAGCATCAGTGAGCCGCATGCGCCGAGGAGGGCGTTTCCCCAAAGCGGTGCGCGCGCATTCTCGTGCGTGAACCAGGTCTACGAGACTAAGCCAGGATGCCTGCAGAGGAACTCTTATCCTCCAGTGCCTTCTGTAAGTCAGTATACACATTTTTAACTGGCTAGCTTGCTTTTAGCTGTTGATTTGCACGTGGCAGTCTGCGCCGGGTTACGCGAGCCTTACAATTAGCCTTCTTTCTTTGTCCCCCGGGTAGCTAGCTAATAGCTATATACCATTACTGAAGCCTGCCCATGAAATCGCCACCGTGTGCCACCACCTGATTATTGCGTCCTTGTTGGCCTGGAGACCCACCCACCAAAAAAAAAAACACAAAAAACAAAAAACACAAAAAACCCACCCAAAAAGAAAACAACCCACAGAACAAAACCTCACCAACCAAAAAAACAACCCAACACAAACCCGACAAAACAAAAAAAAAACACAAAAGACAAAAAACCAAAACCCACCCAACCACCCACAAAAATCCCACCAAAAGATAAACACCAACCCAAAAAAGTAAACCAACAAACGACAAATACAAAAACCAAACACAAAAAAAAAACAATACAACAAACAATCAAAAAAGAACCACCAAACCACTCAAAAAAAAATAACCTAACCAACCAAAACCAAAAAAAAACTACGCGTACAATCCCGCTTCTAGGCG